TAGTCCAAAAATCCCGAGAACCCCCTTGAGAAAATCTCGAGGAAGTCTCAAAAAATCCGAAATAGTCCCAACAATACGGAATTAGTCCCAAAAATCCCGATATATACCCGAGAACGCCGAAAACATCGAAATAGTCCCAAAAATTCCGAATTAGTCCCAAAAATCCTGATGTAGTTGCGTTTCCTAAAAGAATATTATTTAGCTGAAAAATCACAAATCAAAATACATTTAAAATATAAGTTATTAATTTGAATATTTTCAAACAGGTGGCAATCCTCTTTAAACGCCTCAAAAATATTCTAAAGATTTCTTAACGCTCTTTAGTTTAGCACCCATATATTTGGGGTGTTCACAGTTCGTTCCAAATTGTGTCTGAAAATGTAGACGTGCATTTTTTATATGTCGCCTTTCGATTTTGTTTCTGAAAAATTGTAATTATTTAACTTAATTACCAATTCCTAATATTTGTTATTTCTTTTCCTTGATTTGTTTCTTTTCGTCAGAAATTGCGCTCAGATTAAATGCAAATACAGAAAACGTGCCCAATAAATAAAAAAAAAATGTGATTAGTATTGCCATAATGCAACCCTGCTGCGAGGTTGCAAAATGTAATGCATTTTTTATATGTCGCCTTTCGATTTTGTTTCTGAAAAATTGTAATTATATAACTTAATTACCAATTCCTAATATTTGTTATTTCTTTTCCTTGATTTGTTTCTTTTCGTCAGAATATAGACGGCGTCGTTTTCCAATTTTGTATGGGAAACAACAACACCACAGATTTTACGGTTAGAAAACGTCTTAAAATGTAGACGTCTACATTTTGAGACACTATTTGGAACGAACTGTGAACACCCCAATTGTTATTTCATACACCTTGTGTATAGTTGAATTAAATTCCACTTCAATTACAAGGCAACACTCTTGAAAATATTTTTAAACTGAAACGTTCTTAGACCTCTATCTTTTGACACCCATACATTTAAAACAGGTGGCAACCCTTTTTAAAAACCACAAAAATAGTCTGTATGTACATATACAGATAATTAAATAAGTACATACACACTTATGTTCATGCTTATATACATATAATAAATGAAAAATTGTGCGTTATTCAGTATTACTTGAATCATGAATGAAAATTTATTCAACATTCATTCGCAAGTGCTTGAAAGATGAATAAAAATTTATTCGTTATTTGAAGTTATTTGAGTGATGAATAAAAATTTATTCATCATTCGCAAGTGCTTGAATGAGGAATAAAAATTTATTCGTCATTTGAAATCAGGGACGGAAAATAATCATTATTTTTTAAATTTTAATCAAAGAAATCAACAAATTGTAATCGTCGTAAAACAACTTTATTTATACCCACGTATTTGTTTTCGTACGTCCCACTGTAATGAACAATGATTTTTATTTTTCGAGTTTAACCAATAAAGATTAAAAATAATTATTAATATTTGAGTTTTAATATTTCGCTCAAAAGTAATTATTATTACTTGATTTTTATTTTTTCGATCAAAAATAATGATTATTTTATGATTTTTATTATTTCGCTCAAAGATAATAGTTATTATTGAGTTTTATTTTTTTCTCTTAAGAATAATGATCATTCAAAAAAATCAAAAGCTATACCAGTGCGATTTTCGTCGTATCCTTTTCAGAGGGAGCGACACTTTAATAAAGGAATAAGCCTCAAAATTTTCAGGTCAAAATTTCAGTAAGTTGCGTCTGTATAGCCTTTTCAATTTTATGAATAATCATTATTTTTAAGTGGAAAAATAAAACTCAATAATAATTATTATCTGTGAGCGAAAAAATAAAAATCATAAGATAATCATTATTTGTGATCGAAAAAATAAAAATCAAATTATAATTATTTCCGCTGAGCAAAAGAAATAAGAATCAATAATTATTATTTTAGAGCGAAAAAAATAAAACTCATAAAATAATGATTAAATGCTGATTTAAATTATTTAACTCATAATGATTACCGTCCCTGTTTGAAATTACTGCAATGATTAATAAAAATTTATTTTTTGTTTGAATAATAATTCATTCAAAAACGCCCATCCCTGTTACTATATCGATGGCTGAGTGGAAGATCGACCTATCTCGGCAGCCAGTTCGAAAAAACCCTATCACAGCTTATTTTCAATGTATTTTCGTTTGGGATAGGGCGTTTTTGAACCGAATTCTGAGATAGGGCGTTCTTCAACAAAATTCTGAGATAGAATGTTTTTCAATAAAATTCTGAAGTAGGGCGTTCTTGAAAAGTTTTCTGAAATAGAGCGTTTTCGAATCGGCTGCCAAGATAGGTCGATCTTCAGCTCAGCCATCGATATGAGGCATTTCATGTCACCACGGCCACCTCTGTGCGCGACCTCTAAGGATTTGGATGAAAGTTGAAGAGATTGAAGGTCTAGGTGACAAGAATATACGTGCGGCATATTTTGCCGATATGACAAATGGTTGTCTATTTACACGGGGCTTAAATTTCAAGAAAACGTCATAGATACCTTTCTTTAAAGTGCTGTATCTTTGAGACCTTTTAACGCAACTTAATGAAAAAAAATGTATTTCTTCCGTCTTATTACGGGCTTTAATTGTACATTTTTTACATTAATTTGCAACGTATAAAAAATAAAAATAAATTAAGCAAACATTGGGCGCGTTCATAAGACTGATGAGCTGTTTAGCTCATCTGCTACGAAACTGATGGCAACTGTTTAATCCAACAATTACGTCTTAGAAACGGCTTGATGAATATGCTGCCAAATGAACAGCTGATAAATGTAAACAAATGAAATTGCAACAAATAGAGATAGTTGCGCCGATAGTATTTAGAATTCAACGCTGAGCTGCCGCCGTGTTGAAAAAATCGTTCAATGTTACAATGAATTAAACAGTGTAAAATTATATAGCAAACATCTTAAAAACATATATTTTGAAACGTAGTATTATTATAAAATATTCTAGTTATTTTATCACATTAGTAATATAAAATATAATAACGAAGCGTCGTTAAATTCAATATAAGCGGCGTAAGTATTTTCGATCAGCTGTTTAGGCTAAGCCCAACACGTTGAGTTCAGGTAGCGTAAACATTTCCGCTGGAAAAAATGGCGGAAAGTTGCCAACTGTTGAGCTGAACGGAACTACTCAACTGTGCGTTTCTAAGACAAATAGCCAACGGTTGGGCAACAGCTACGTCTTATAAAAGCGCCCATTTTTCTTTTTATTTTTTTTTTTTGATTATAGCATTTATTTATATTTTTATTTTTACATAAAATCATTGTCTATAATGTCAACTTTAAGTACCCAAATGGGCGTAATGGGCTACTTATGCGTTTGGACTCTAGATCGTCTAACGCTCAAGCAATATGATAAATAGACATTGAAGTTTTATGAAATTGTATATTTTTGAAAGAGGAAAGGTGTGTAAAAAGCAAAAACAATATGAATAAATCATATTAACTTTATTAAAGGCCTGAAATCATGAAAATCCCTTCAAGGAAATGGCAGAATTGACCTTTGTTGCAAGTTCATATGGGAAATCTGCTTACGACGTGATTAGAGGCAATTTTAGGAGACTAGCACTGGACCAAGTCAACTCCTGATGTTACAAAAAATTCGTACACCCGAAGCCCTCTACCAACGGGATGCCTGTAAAAAATAACTGCAACTAACTTTTTAGTGGACTATATTTCGACCATGACTACGTGCCAATTACTTTAATCCTATTTTAAGCTAGTTTAAAAGGTTAAATAACATCAAGTTAGGGAAGTTCATATCCTTATTTAACGAATCTCTAAATCAATAAATAATTTTTTTTCTTTTAGTTCTTCTTGTAATAAAAGCATGTTGTTGGTTTTTTAACTACAATTTTATTACTCATTAGGTATATTTTTTTTACATCTTTCCTTTTTCTTGTTTTAATAAAAGGACTAACCTTGCAGCTATCGTTGGAGGATATTCCTTTGCAATGAAACCGAAACATCGACAACATCAACATGAACAACACTAATTGCAAAAGAATATTAGACCTCCAATCATAGCTTCAATGTTATTCCTTTGGGTACTGTTTATGAATTTGTACAACGATTTTGGGTTGCTGTGCCCAAACGCGTGAATCGAATCAAAAAACTTTTACACACACTTGTAGACAACAGTTCACGCTTTATTACAAAAATTTTATTTACTAAATCAGTGCAAAAAATTTAACAATAATGTCGGTTGGAAATATGGTATTTGTTGCAAATTTTTGTTATAAATTTGTATATACATTTTTATATACAAGATATTTTTATAAAACACCAAAATAGACATCACTGTGGCGGCAGCCCCAGGTTTACCACACAGAAAGGGAATTCTAGCTACCTCATCCCTTCCCAAGGTTACATCACGGGGGCGGTAGGCCGCCTACGCAGAAAGGTGTTCTCTGCAAAAGATGTCCAGCCCCCCTTCTTCGGACGCAAGTTTAACTTTGTTTTTTTTCTTGCAAAAACGCTAAAATTCCCCTATTTTCAAACAGCTCCCCAGAGGTCTGTGGGAGGGGTTGGGGGGGGAGGGGTGACTTCATAAAGCGTCACTCCTCTTTCGTTTAGGGGGGATTTGTGGGGCCCACACCACCTGCCCCTCCGTCCCCACCCCTAAATCGTTGCACAAATAGCTAAACACTTCCCATTCCTTTTATTAAAACAAGAAAAAGGAAGTGTGTAAGAAATAATACTGAGTAATAAAATTATAGTTAAAAAAAAAAACAACAACACGCTTTTATTACAAGAACTAAAAGGAAAAAAATTATTTATTGATTTAAAGATTCGTTAAATAAGGATATGAAGTTCCCTAACTTGATGTTATTTAAACTAGCTTAAAACAGGATTAAATAGGATTAACGTCCTGACCAAGTTTCATTTGTCAATTCCACCTGGTTTTCTTAAAACAAAAGGTGCGCCTGAATACTAAAGTCTACCCGGCAAATCCCTATTACTTACCGTTCTACCGCCTGTTATCTCACCGAGGATGTTTTGGATTTCTTCAGCATCAGTGCGACTATCAAGTTCAACAACATATGCAGGAACAGCAAGTTTGCGAAATTGCTTAAAAGAAAATCAAGAACATACATAAATAAGTAAATCCACGTTCGAAAAGGTGTTAACTCCAACCTCCTTGGCCATGGTGCAGAAAGGGCAGTAGCTTTTAGAAAAAATGACTACCTTATTATTTGCAATTACTTCGCGCACCATATCTGCCTGAGAATTACTCATATTGACGTTTACTATCGGTTTCTTAAGTAAAGCAGAAATTACTGAACCCATACATGAGCTCCTTACACCCACGCCGACAACTTGGAAAACTTTCAGGCGTGAAAAATTAATCAGATGTTTCGCAGAAAAGCTGAAATCAGTCAAGAACGCAGAACGTATTAGAGCTGCAAAAACATCGGAGCACTATCGATAGTATCGATGTTTAAATATTTTTTTGAAAACATCGATGTTTTTCTTACTATCGATGTTTTTAGAGGATATGCCATCATTGGAAAGTTTATCCGTTGCTGATTTGGGGCAGGCAAGAAGTATAAAAACTAAAGCGTAATCAACTCATAATCTTTAACAGAACGCTAAAGCCTAACAATAAGTGTTCAGGGAAGTTATTACCAGGTCCAAAAAGTTTAAGCTTACAGCCTGCTGTCTTACATTTTCCTTACGAAATAATGGAACGGGCATATATTTCTGTTGAAAACAAGGGTGCCTGGTACTCTTCACAAACAAACTTTAGCAAACCATAGTACAAAGCGTAGCGAATTTCTTAATAACTTACTTAATACGTACTGCTTAAGATAATTTGGCGCTATAAATTTTTCTTGACCATTTCTTTTGCTTTTTTTATTCGTCGAACTAAATAAATGTTCGAAAATAATCATGATATAAAAATTTGAAGAAACCGCTGCGAGACAGCCTGAACATTTTTGAAGTTTGCTAACATAACAAAAATGTTTTCAAATTTTCAATCTCACAAACACATTCTCACTTCCGTTGCTCTCAAAATTTCAATCTTATAAAGTGGACAAACTTCAAAAAATTAATGATGGTTGACGAATTGAGCGAGCGGTTTTACCTTGATATATTTGTATCAAGGAAAATAATAACATATAAAAAGAGATCTAGTTTTTATTAACCCGCAACTTTAATTTCGTTTCTGCTTGGATGTAAAAATTTAATACCAATGGTTTGTCTCTACGGGCAGCATTGAATACCGAATAACGAATATTTAAAAAAATTAAGACCAACCAACGCAGATCTCCATTATTTGAGAATATCGAGCAACACTAGTGTGTCCATTGTAATTTTTCAATCCTTGAAGTAAACTGAATAAAATCACATTAAACTGTACATAATTTTTTTTTATTCTGCGAGTATATTTACCAATGTTTTTGTGCTTATCTAAGCGCTTAAAACGGATTTGTTTCTTGCTTATTTTCTTCAGCCCTGGTTATTACTAACAAATTGATTTTGTCAGTGCGATCTCTAATTGGGAAAATTAAGAATAAAAACTTGAAGTGTACCCTGGAATAATGCCTTTAATTTATTTAATAAGACATCATTTATAACACATTAATGGTGTTGTTGCTTTATGAATACTTTTATATAATTATAAATTAAATGTGACCTTAAATACAAGTCAAATTAAAGTTTAAACTAATTATTGGATAATTTTAAAATAATAAAAGTAATTTATTAAAAAATTATGTTTGTTAATTGATAAGGGTTTCAGCTTGAAACAAACAGTTAAAATTCTCAAGAAACCACGATAGTATCGATACTATCGATGTTTTAGTGGCAAAAACATCGAAAAATCAATAGTTTCAAACATCGATGTTTTAGCAGCACTAGAACGTATACTTTTTTTTAATTTAAGGTTACTCTTGCGCCGATGACCTTCGGGTTGCGTTTCTTTATTCATTCCACAATATAACCAGTAAACAACCTTCGGAGGGAGCATAGATGCGAAAGTAAAACATTGAGTTCATTAAAAATCTTCATTGGGTCTGCATTATTGCTTTCGAACAACTTGTTTACTTTTTGCACCTGAAAATTAGGCAAATAGTAAAATCGGCTAAAAACGGCTAATTTTTTTTACAAACCGGCTAACAAATCGGCTGCCGGCTAGATCGAATTTTCTCCGGCTAGTTGCTATCAAAACCGGCTAAATCTAGCCGGAAAACGGCTAGAATGGCAACGCTGATACTGAGGTTCATGGTTCAGAATGAATCACAGTATAGACAGTAACCAACCTTTTTGGGTTGTTGTTGTAGTAGTCGTTGTTGTTGTAGTTATATTCACTCCTGAGGAAGGCACGGGGCTGTGTGCTGCTATTTAATGGCCTTCCTCAGACTTTTTCTTAGATTTCAGGGTTGTGTGCTGCATAATTATTAGATAAATAAATTTAAGCATTTGACAATACGTGATTTTATTAAAAGAAAATTATAAATGGTGTTGAAAAACCAAACAAACGCTCGTGCGAAAGCCCTATTTTTATGTGTTGTTAAAATTTATACATGGCGTATTGATGGACAAGTAATGTATTCTTTTGTGGATTTTATGTTGCTTGAGAATTTAGACAACGTGCGAGCTGCCAGGTTCAGTTATCAATATAATTAACACAAGCTTTTTCGCGTAGTTTCCTTTCAATAAATAGAATAAACAAATATTCGCAAATAAATTGGGTTTATTTTATAACTGACAACTAACGTACGATTTTTGTTCTTTTCTCCATTTTGATTTTGACTCCTATTACCGCCAATAACTTAATGTGTATACATATTTACAAGCTGTCAAAATTTTGCGTAGTCCCACGAGCCAAGTAAAAACCATGGCATTCGTATTCACAAGGAGAAATCTCAAAATTTTTGTTTGGTATTTCCAAATTTTCTCTTTTTTATCAGTTGGCAAAAGCCCTCAGTGGCAGCGCTCCGAGCGTTGAGATAGTAATTTCATGTCAATTAGTACAAAATATCCATGTTGAAAAAAACTTTTTTATTATGGCGAGAAAATTTTACATTGCTGTGCCAATTCGTAACTTTTTACTGCTGGAAATTTTTGACAGTTGCTCTGGTGCAAAAGAAGTTGAGCAATTAAAATCAAAAATTATACAAAAAAAGACTTGTCTTTACTGACTTTTATTCTTCTGGAACTAAAAGCCATGAATTTATTAGACACCTTAGTAATAAAATTAGAACAAAAAAATTGTTCAAAACCGTCAGGCCGGGTTGAAAATTGTCATCCACCTCATAGTTAACAAAAATTTACAATCCGTAGTACTTTTCTATCAATTCGCAAATGCCGTTTGCACAAAAAAGGTTATCAAATGCGTTTTATTTAAATCGTTTAGAAAATGAGTCATTTATGTATACCATTTTATATGGAATTATTCAATAAATTTCGTTTTACACTATACTTTTTGAAACATTTGGAGTTAATTATTTTTTGTTTCTTAAAAGCAACCCTGCGTGCTTGGAAGGCGTGTGTACCAATAATTTCATCCCTAGCACATTCATCCCCGAGGAAGGCAGTCGACAAATTCA